GCAGCTACCATAATGATGGGTTCTATAGTTTAACTGAGAAAACCGGCTCGAGATAAGCAAACTCAAGATAAGGTTCTGGGATTGCTAGAAGTGGTCTGGCCCTACACATAGCACAGAGGTCACCAGGCTGTTATCCACATCTGCTCCCAGTCTTGTGGACAGAAAACAGGTTGTACATCTCTCCCTTTGAAGAGAGAACTCTGCATGTTTAACATTCCTGGTTCCCCTGGTGCCTGTCTTATGAGCACAAGGACAAGCCTAAGACAAGTTCTTTCTCCCCCATAAACATCTAATTTTGTGTCAAATTGACAAAAACCAACCGGCACTATTTGTTAGAGAGGCTGTCTGTATAAACTCAGTCTTCCCAATATCAAGTGTTAAAGCCGTGCTCCTTAACAAATGGTAAGTGTTCTGGGACCTGAGTTAGTCACTTTTCTTGTTGCTGTGACAAAATGCCCGATTAAAGAAACTCAAGCAAGAAAGGGTTTCCTTTGGCTCACAGAGAAAGGCCACAGCTCCTCCTGGCAGGAAAGACATAACAGGAGCAGAAGGCAGCTGCTCAAAAAGCATCCCAAGTTAAGAAGCAGAAAAAGGTGAATGCTGGTGCTCAGCACATTTTCTCCCTTTTATTTGGTCTGGGACCACAACCCTTTAGTAGAGCCACCTGCATTTAAGGTGAGTGAGGCTTCCAAATTCACAGACAGGCCCAGAGAGTTATTTCCATTGTTATTTTAAATTCTACAAGTTAAAAGGGGCCTTTATCAAAATTTAGGAGGCTGTAAGTTGTGGGTATATTTGGGGGTGTTCTTCTCTGTTCCATTGTTCTGCGTGTCTAGTTTTTCTGCCCGTACCGTACTGTCTATGTCACCATGGCAGAGGTTCTCAACCTTCCCAATGCTGTGACCCTTTAATACAATTCTTCATGTTGTGGTGGCCCCCAACCATAAAATTATATTTGTTGGTACTTCGTAGCTGCAATTTTGCTACTGCTATGAATAATAATGTAAATAGCTGATATACAGGATATCTGATGTCCAACCTCCATAAGGGTCATGACCCCTCAAGAACCACTGTTCTATAGTAAAATTACATAGTCAGGTATTGCTATGCATCTAGCATTGCTTTTTCTGCTCAGGAATGCTTTAGCTATTCAAGATCTTATGTATTTCTTGGTGAATTTTAGGGTTGTTTTCTGAATTTTTATAGGGATTGTATTAAATCTGTTGACTGATTTCAGTAATATTGCCATCCTCATTCTATTAACTCAACCTAGCTATTGGCATGAAAGATTTTTCTATCTTCTTGTATCCTCAAGTTTTTGTATGTTTGTTTGTTTTGGGTTTTGTTTTTATTTTTAGTGCCTTGAAGGTTTCATTTTAGGGGTCTTTAATAGCCTTGGTTAGGTTTACTTCTATGGTGTGTGTGTGTGTGTGTGTGTGTGTGTGTGTGTGTGTGTGTGTGTGTGTGTGAATATGTATGTAGGCATGGCTATTGGTGTGCATGTGGAGGGCAAAAATTAAGATTAGGCATCTTCCACTCTCATTCTCCGCCTTATTTTTTTCAGATTTTATTTTGTTAATTTCTTATGTGTGGTGGTGTTTTGCCTGCGTGTATGACAGTGCCTGAACTGGAGTTACAGAGAATTGTGAGTTACCAGGTGGGTGCTACGGAATTGAACCCGGCTCCTTTGGAAGAGCAACCAGTGCTCTTAACCACTGAGCCATCTCTCCAGTCCCTCCATCTTCATTTTGGAAACAGTTTCTCCCTGAATTCAGCACTTACTGACTGCCTATATTGCCTGGCCAGCAAGCCCCAAGGAGCCACCTGTCTTTCCCACCCCACCCCCAAGCACTAGGGGTACAAATGTATCATGCCCAGCCTTTACATAGGTGCTCACAATCCAAACTCATGTCCTCATGCTCTCGTGCATTTTACCTACTGTGCTATCTATCCAGCCTGTAGGGTTTTATTATTTATTTATTTATTTTTAGATGTATGTATGTTAGGATATGCCACAGCATACATGTGGAGATCAGGTGATGTCTTTGACAAGTTTGTGTGATCACTTCCTTCCATCTACCTTCATGTGGACACCAGGAATAAAAATGAACTTGCTAGGCTTGCATGCTAAGTTCCTCTATTTACTGGCTGATTCTGCCAGTCCAATTTATTCATCTTTACTGAAATTATTGCCATAAAGATTTCACAGATTAAGAGCTATGCAATGTATAATCATGCCATTTTTATTTTTATCAATGACATTGGTAATGTTCATTCTCATTCAGTGGTTGAGAATTTATTTTTTCATAGCAGTTGTGACAACGTGTACAAGAGCTATGTAAACTCAAACCAAACAAAATCCGATCGTGGAGAAGAGAGGTGGGCACAGACTCTGATCCTTAGCTGAAGAGCTATTGGCAATCAATAGCTGCTGGCAAAGGGAGAACCAATCATTTAAAGGTGTGGCCCCTGATATGTCAACCGTGTTCCAATGGACACACAGCCAGAAGTATATGGGAAACACAAAACTGTTCTTGAGATGGGTTAAAAATATAAAATAGAGGACTCAAGTTGGGTAGAGAAGGAGAGTGGATCTGAGAGATGTTGAGAGAGGAGTGAATATGACCAAAATACACTGTACAGAATTCTCAAAAAAAACTAATAAAATGGGAAAAATATTTATTAGTTATAAAGACATATTTAAAATACTAGATTTTAATATCATTATTTTTTCTCATAAGAGACGATGTGCCGGGAGGGAGTGGTCACCCTTTATGGCTGCTTCTGTTCTCAGGTGGATAAGAATAAAAGTCTGGGCTAGACAATAAAAGGACCAGAAGTGGAACTCCAGAAAAACTAATGCAAAGAATAAAAACCTGGGAGAGAGGGAGATGTGCAGATTTAACAGCAGTGTTCGTTCTTAGCAGTAATCAAGAGAAACCAAGCCAAGCGAGGAATATAAACTAACATCTTGTGCATTGGCTATGACTGTTGCCATCAGCATATTTCTATTTCGGTCTCTTGTGTTACTGAATATTACTGAATATTCTTAAATTAAGACTTTCAGAGACTGGAGAGATGGCTCAGTGCTTAAGAACGCTTGCTGCTCTTCCAAAGCACCCGGGGTTCTATCCCCAGCACTACATGAAAGCTAACAACTGGCTCTAAGTCCAGTTCCAGGGATCTGACACCCCTTTCTGGCCACTGTGGGCACCGAACACATGTGGTTCACAAACATACATACAGGCAAAACATCCATACACATAAACTAAAAATAAATTAAAAAAAAAGACTTTCCTAACTTAAAATTTTTTTCAATAAGTATATTGCCTTACTTTTTTTTCACTTGTGGTTGTTTATGTTATCTATTTTTTTTATGTTTTGTTATTTTATATCCAGCTCTTTTTAATGTCAAAAGAACTTCCATTTTTCTTTTACCACATGGCAGTTTCTCTCAGATGGTTAACTTTCTTTTTAAAATTTTTTCATAATAAATGCTTTCTGTCAACTAAAAGTAATAACACTGCACCTTTAAAAGTTGAGTTATTAAATGAGATTGCTGTTTTCGAAAAACACTGCTATCTTTTTTTTAACAAAACTGGTATTTTCATTAGAATGTGATATTTTCATTTTCATATTCTATTTTTTAACTTTTTATTGGTTCTTTGTGAATTTCACATCACGCACCCCAATCCCACTCATCTCCCTGTCCCCTCACACCCGCCCTTCATCTTTTCAACCTTTTCCCCAACAAATGAAAACAAAAGACCTTGTTGTGGAAGCTGCAGTGCATCACAGTGTACCCTTTGGTCTATACTTCCCCGTTTGCAAATGTTCATGGTAGAGTCGTTGGTCTGTTTTGAGGCCTCTGGTTTCTGTTACACTAACAATACTGGAACTGCACTGGGGCTTGTCTTGAATATCCTGTTGTTGCCCTGTGTCATGGAGATCCTGTAGTTTTGGCCACTTCATGCACTCCAGCAGTTCATCAATGGGGTAGATGTTGGGATGGGCCGATCAAAGCCCTGGCTCTGGGCCTGGGTGATATCTGAGCTGGTCACCCCCGCCCCCTCCCTACTCCCATCCTCAGCTCACCCATACCCACACCACCAGGCCAAGCTCCCCTGCTGCACCCCAGCTGGCCCATCCAATACCACCGCCAGTAAGGTGCCGAGCCCGCTCTCAGGGGCTAGCTCACTCACAACCCCCAACAACCAGAGCCAGCTCTATCCTGCTGCTCAGGCAAGGTAGCCAATGAGGAACAAGGTGAGTTCTCCCACTCTCATGACCTCAGGGCCTATTCTCCCACTTGCTGTAGGTGGTGGGGGCCAAGGAGCAGGAGGAGGGCATCTCTCCCTTGTCTGTGCCACTGCACAGCAGACAACAGTCAGGGTTGGTGCTCGTGCTGTCAGGGCCTGATCCCCTGCAGGCAGCATCCAGGGCCGTGGTGCTTTACTGTGCTATCCAGGGAAGGTGCAGGACCTGCTCTCCAAGTGCTGCAGCTGGTGAGCAGCAGGGCCAGCTGTCCCACGATGCTCAGATGAAAGATGGGGCAGTCCTCCACAAAGTTTGCTCCTCTTAGTGGTGTCCAGGATCTCTGGGTGTCTGGGATCATCTCAGGAGTGGTTTCAGAAGTGCTGTGCCCCACCCAGGCATTACGGCACCGTGGAGGGGTCATCTTAGACATGGTCTGCCCTCCCGCCCAGAACGGCAGGGCACTGAACTAGTGGTCATCTCAGGTTAGCTCCCTGTCCAAGTCCCATGTCCCAGGATTGGTGGTCCTCTCCCGGGCCGGCCCATGTGGCAGTCATCTGTCTCGGGTTCTTTCCTGTCCACTACCCCAGTCCCAGATGACCCCATGTGGGACCATATTAGCTTTGTTTCCACTGAGTCTTACAGGGCTCGGGTGGTGCTTCCTCCTCTTGCTCCTTTTCCTGCGAGCCTGTCCGGTCCTGTGCAGAGCAGGATTGGTGATCATCTCAGGCTTGCTTTTCTCAGGGAGTGTTAAGCTACTAACCATCCAGATGTGCACAGTTCAGACCACTGAGCTGAGTGTAGACATATCCTCTCTCCTCCCTGCCACCCGCTGATGCACATGAGACACAGCAGACATACCTACCATGCCTCTAGGGGCAGGGGAATGTACATATTCTTAAGATAATTTATACAACATGTCAATCTTAGGTTTTGAGGTAGGATATGTCATTTTATTTTGTGAAAAAAAAAAAATAACATTTTTTTTCACAGAAAAACCTGAACAAAAAGATAGAAAATTGTGATGACTTAGAAGTTAAAGCTCTATTTTTATGTGCTTTATATTTTATGTATTTGAGCTCATGTGTATAAACTGTTGTAATCTTTTTTCAGTTAAGATTGTACTGTGGGCCTCTGGCAGTGGACAGAGACATCTTGCTGGTGGTGGTGTTCTTATACCAGTCAGGGTCAGAGCAGATGGTAGTCCTTTGTTCATCCTTTCTTGGTGGCCAAAGCTGTTTTATACCTAGGACACATAAAAAATCCAATCCAATCCAGGCAGTGTATCAGAGAGGGAGGATGACAGACAGGGACCCGCAGATCTGCCCTCTAGCACATGGCTCAGGTGGGCCATAGCCCACGCAGTGTGGATAGAGGAAGTCGCCCAGGGGCCCACCAGCTATGTGGCCAGTCTGCAGCTAACGCTGGTGGCCAGATGGCAGAGAAAAGAGAAGTGGAACAGCTTGAGCATTATGATGAGAGATGGAACTGTGGACTGGAGGGTGGAGAGGAGTAGCCTGCTGTTATTGGCCAGCCCTGATGCCTGGGGCCATGCTGAAGTCCCAGGTCAAGCTGCCACCGAGGGCCATGGCTGAATCTGTGGCTGTGCAGTGGCAGGTGTCACTGTCAATGTCCGTGGCTCCTATTACCCCATGGTGATGTTCCTGGACAAGGCAGCTGCCAGGGACCACCTGGATGTCCAGGAGCTGTGCAGGACTGGCCCTGTCCCTCACTGGATGTGTTGCTCTGGAGATCTGGCCTCATCTCTCACTGCTGGCAGCATTCCAGACAGTAGCAGGCCCTGTGCTTTTCCCAGGCAGCACAGTGGAGTTGGCCCTGATGGCAGGGGTGTAGGTGAACCAGCCCAAAGGATGTGGGTGGGAGAGCTGACCCTGCTACTTCTCTAACAGTCGGAAAAGCTGCCCACATGGTCATGAACTCAGGAAAGCTATTCCTGCCCAGCTGCAGCACTTGGGAAAGTGGACTCTGAACCTTGCCTGAACAGAGCCAACCCTGGTATTGGGGGCACAGGTAAGCTAGCTCTTAGGGTAAGAGTGTGGGAGAACTGTCCCTGCCACTAGTCTGCCTCTGTGAGGTGGGGTGGGGGTGATGCCCTCACCCCTCACCACGTGCAGCAGTCAGGAGAGCTAGCTTTGGGCTCATGAGAACAGAAGAGGTGGTCCTTTCCCTCTCTGGCTGCAGCACTCAGGAAAATAGGCCCTGCACCTGTCCTGGGTAGCACAGTAGTGCTGGCCCTGGTTAAGGAAGCACAGGTGAGCCAGCCCTGATGGTGAAAGCATGGGAGAGCAGGACCCACCACTTGGCTGCCATGGGGTGGGGTGGTGTGGTCCCTCTGTATCCCCTGCTGCCACCTTTGGTAGATGGAAGAGCTGGCCCTGGTCATGAGAGTGAGAGAACTAGCCCTGCCCCTTTACTGACTATAGCACTTAGGAGAGCAGGCCCTGTACCTCACCTGGGCAACACGACAGAGCTGGACCTCATGGCAAAGGCATGGGTGAACCAGCCCCGCACAGGCTGCAGTAATTGAGAGAGCGGGCCCCAAGCCTTGACTGGGCAGCACAGTGGAGCTGGCTCTGGAGGCCTGGGTGTGACCTAGCCAGAACAGTGCTGGAGAGCTTGCCCTGGTGGTGCAGATAGGGGAGAGCTGGTGGGATGACCAGCTCTGCTACCACCCAGGCCCCCATTCAGGGCTCTGAACTGGCCCGCCCCAAAATCGATGAAAGGGCCAGTGCTGCTGACCCAACGCTGCAGAATCACCATGACACAGGGCAACAACAGGATAACTGAGGGGTCACAGCAGACCAATGACTCATTGCAATGAATATTTGCAAGTGAAGATGTGTGGACAGAGGGATAAACTTCACACTGACACACTGCAGCTTCCACGATGAGATGTTGTCTGTGCTTTTTGCCGTTGTTTCATTTTTGTTTTGTTTTTCTATTGGGGGAGAAGGTTGCAAGGGGAAAGGACAGATATGAGGGGACAGGGAGATGAGCAGGACTGATGTACATGATGTGAAACTCAAAAAAATCAGTAAAAAAAATAAAAAACAGATTGTACTATGCTTGTTCTCACATCATATTAATACCCTGAGTTACTCGATGATGGCTGTGCAAATCCATCGTTCCAATACACCATCTTGGTCATAATATTTTCTTAATAGCAGATGCCTAGAGTTAGAAATTTTAACAAATTGGATAGATAACTGGTACCTCTGTAAGTTTGTGTTTGCTTAATGATGTTGTTTGAATATTTTTTCAAATGTTAATCATAGTTTTTTTTAATTTTTTCAAATACTTACTGATTTTATTTTATGTATATGTGTGTGTGCCCTAATGTTGAAGCCCAAAGAGGTCAACAGGCCACAGACTCCCTGAAAAATGGGTTACAGATGGCTATGAGCCAACATCTGGGTCCTGGGAACTGAACCCAGGTCCTTTGCAAGAGCAACAGTGCCTATAACAACTGAGCCATCTTTCCTGCCCCAGTAGTTTTCTTTTAATGAATAATGGTACATTTTTTTATCCTAACAGTCTTAGAAATTCATACCAATTCATGTAATATTTTATTTACTTATTACACATTATATATCACTATTTTTTTAAACTGCCAATACTTAGTTTGGTGGGGCTTAGGTTTTCTTTTTCTCATAAAATTTTAAAAATACAAATAAGCACCTAAGAAAACAAATGTACTCTATTAGTTTCCAACGTTGACAGGTGAGATTAAATCGGAAATTAGAATAATACTATCCTGTGTCTTAGCCTTTAACTGAGGTTCAATCTAGAGTCTTCTATGTTTTCTAAGCAAGTATTCTACCCCTGAAATATGTCCCTGGCTGAATACCATGCACTCATTATTTCACTGTATTTGATTCATATAGTAATAAGAATAGTATAAAATTATTTTTAAATTGCAATACAGTAGTCTGTTCTATAAGTAAGCATTTTCATATTCAGTTTTTCACTGCTCTGAACTTTGCAACATTCTTTAGGAAGCATGATTTCGGGACCCACATTCATTCACACCTTTACCTTGACTTTCAAAGGACTCTTAGGTTCTCAGTAGCCTATCTTTCTGTGCTTACTGCAAATGAATACTGATTTAAAGAACAATCAACTATGTGACAAATAATAAACCGGTTTTAAGTCTACAGTTCAGTGTGTTTTGGCCCACATCAGTCAAGATACAGAATATTTTTAACATTGTCCCTCCCAAAATTCTCTTGCACATTTTCATCAGTCTCCCCCATCCCAAGTCCTCAATAACCACAGATATTTTCTGTGAGAATAGTTTATATTTTATCATATGGCTTTAAGGTAATTGGAATCATGTGGGTTATTTGTTCTAGAATCTAGATTCTTTTGCTTATAGTGTCTTAGTATCCATCCCTGCTCTTATCTTAGTCTACGTGTCCTATTGATAGCCCAGTCGTGTCATTTTACATGTATAGCAAAACTTGCCTCCCATCAAGTGGTGGTTGGGGATTTATCTCAGTGGTAGAGCACTTGCCTAGCAAGTGCAAAGCCCTGGGTTTGGTCCTCAGCTCTGGGAAAAAAAAAAAAAAAAAAAGTAGTACACAAGTCAATAGTTGGGTATTTTGACCTGATTCCAGCCTGCAGTTGTTATAAACAAGCCGTGGTCTGCTCATAGGTCTTTAGGCAATGACTCCCCAGAAAAAGAGCTACTTCTCTTCAGATCCAGGAAGTGTGTAGACTCCAACTCCATCCCTTGTTTCACATCAGACACACTTCCCAAAGGAAAGCTCGGGTCTCGCTTTGTGACCAAGTTCGCGGATGAGGCAATAAGCCCTGAGCGCTTTGGAAAGCTCTGTGACAAACACCTGGTCACCCTCCTCCTGTATCAACTGCTAAGCATAAATGCTCCCCTTGCTCCCTGCCCTTCTCTCGATGTCTCCTGGCTCTAGGAGAGTCTACGATTCCTGCCAAGTCCGTCCCTGCCCCTTCCCATCATGGGACGGGCAGCGGAGAAAATAACTGCAGACACAATGCTGTCTAATGCCAGATCCTCTAAATAGCTACAGAAGGCAGTTGTCAGGCAAACCCCAGGCCTCTTGAGCACCTGCCCAGTGGCCTCTGGTGCATTCTGTGACCTCTTTTGTGGCTACAAGGCAAACTCATCTTATGGCTCAGAATCCCGTGCAGTAATTTTTATTGAACCTGCCTTCCAGCCTTCGGGTGGAATGATGACACAGTAGTTGGGGCTGGCCTCAAACTCATGGCAGTCTTTTTCTCTCAGCCTTCCATATGTTGGGGTTTCAGTGTAAGCTATTACACCTGGTTGAATGCAAACATGTTAAGAGCAATAATCATACCTTACACAGTTTTTATATGTGCAAGGTACATAATGGGCACTCGTAGTTTGAACAGTACAGTACCTAAACTTGAGACGTAGGCACAGACTCCTGGCTCACACACCCTCAATATTTAAAGTAAACCTTTATGAATCCAATCCAGGCACAACATTTGTGGTTGCCACCTTCAGTCAAATGTCCCCCCAGGAATTGAAACTAATTATAAAAGGACAATTATTTATACTTTACGTTTAGATGTATAATATAGACATTTTCTTGTACTACTGTCATTTGAAAGAGAACCCGAAAAGTGGCCAGTCAACACTTTTCTCTTTCTTCTCTTTCCAATTCCCTTCTGTGGTGAGGGGAATTTTAGAAAAAGCACTGAAACTGTGAGTCTAAGATTGGCTTTCCACAAGGACCTCTCATAGAGATAGCCTGGAACCCCTGCACAGAGGTAGCCCATGGCAGTTCAGTGTCCAAGTGGCCTCCATAGTAATGGGGACAGGGGCTGTCTCTGACATGAACTGATTGGCCTGTTCTTTGA